TGCTTGCTCTCCAGCAGGCAATCAACTCTTTCTCAGCCAGCAAGTTTAATCAGCAGCCCATCTGCACAAAAGTCTTTCAACACAAGATGGGACAAGAGTTGTGATACCTCTACTCCCTTAGCCCTACACCTTTAATGAGGCATCCATGGGGTAAGGGTAACAGTGTATTATGGCTTTGATCAGAAAGCATGATATGAAAAATGGATTAAGATTTTGTTAAACTCTTCCTTCATATTCAACACCTTGCAGATACTTACAGAATCAAGGAGATAGCACTGGAGTTTGGTTCTCGATATCAAACCATCAGACAAATGGAATTCAAAAAGAGCCCCCTAAGACGTCAAGAAAGACAATTTGCAGATTAATATATTATTCAAAGAAAAAGAAATTGAACAATTTTTACTTAAAAAACATGGAAGGTAAAAAATACACTTTAGCAGTATAATCATACCATTCTAGAGGAATCTGAGTTTGTTGGGGTCTTTGCATTTCCTAGAGATTGGATCACAGCTACAGAGGCCAGAAAGTGCTAAAGGATAAAACAGAGTCAACATTTTATAACTATCAAAGGACAATGAATTCAGATATCAACAAAGCCCTCTAAATTTATGGCCATTCATCATCACATTGTCATATTAACTCCCTTGCTGTTACCTCACTTCGAGATACCCAGATATTCAGTAGGTGATGTTATGGCCAAAACCTCCATAAATGGTCATTTATTCCTGATTTTAATATCACTGTTGCCCAAAAGGCTGATTACATATTTCAAAGTAGATCACCTCTGTCAGTAACTGACACATGTCTCCTTTCTTAACATATTTACCCACTGGATCTTCCACAGTGTAATGGATGTTACTATACAAATACTCTAACCTTACAGATATCGGAATCCATTCCTCCCCCAGCCTGTTCTAACAGATGATGGACAAGAGCCTGGGCTGTGAATGTCTTCCCACTACCTCCACTCCCACTGAAAAATAAACAAATTTCATTTTTTATGCGGAAGGTGTAAAATTAACCTCTTGCCCTGAGTATTGCTCACCAGATTAGGAGGTCCAGGCAAAGACATTAAGGTTATAGCTTTACATAGTTTATCTCTACTGTTAGTAGTGATCATAGATTGCTGATGTGTTTTGTTGTTGTTGTTTTCTCATCATTCAGAGATTTCATTGCTGTTCTAAATTTAAAGACTGAGATTATCCTGTATGGTGTTGTTACAAATTAATTTGGAAGAAATATACAATCTACCTTAGAACAATAACTTGTGGAGCACTGGAATAAGCCAACTTCCTTGTCACTCTTTGAATAACTGTCTGTAGTCTTTGATTATCGGAAAAACTCTGAGGCAGGCCTGTTTTGGACTGAGCTCGATCAAATGAATTCATAGCAATCATCACAGAACCTAAATTTGTCTGGGAAAAAGGAAAAGAAGAGACACAAGAGATTAAAGAAAATAAACACTCTGAGCTTGTCTGTCAAGGCCAGGTGAGTGATTTAAAAACTTTTCAAACGTTCTCCTATTCCTAACATTCCAACTGGGTTATTATACTGGAAAACCAATCAAAAGTGTAGTTTAGCAGTTTTACAAAATAAACTTTAATTTTCTATGGGTTTACCAGTGCAATAGATGATAGGTTTATGACCAATCAGGGCACTTTAAGTATCTCAATTATTTTATTATGGTTAATTAATATATCATGGATATTCAGAACCTTCAGCACCACAAAATGTAAATAGCAAATGATACTAATTTCCTAAATATGGAACCAAATATTCTAAATTTTCCTGTGAAGGAAAAACTTACCACACTGGTGAAATGGGAATTTAGATATTTTACTTAAAGGTTCAAAGGTAAAGAAGCATTGATTTCCATCAGATGCATATAAACAAGAAGAGGTTGAATGTCACTGTTTCCATTTTATCACCTACATAATTTTCAGCTGCAGCACTTCTTTGTTGAAGAGCTCCCAGAAGTGCAGCTTCTGTGATTGGTCCAGTGAGATGGACTAAGTCATCTGGTGGTAGACTTGTTTGATTACCACTCACTGAATTTGAAGCCATACCATTTGTCTTAACTGAAAGAACAAAATGAATCCAACTCAAGAGAAAAACTCACAACTTTATTTATAAAATAGCTCTTATTTCGAGACTAATGATTCAATGTGACTAAATAAATAGACAATCATGGATGCAAAAAGCACTATTCACCTGTTTGGTGTAGACTTATACTGAATATAATTACCTTCTCTATGATCTGGTAATGTAACTCCATTGAGCCTGATGCTTGATTTTGCTGTTAGTAGGGCTCTTAAGCTCATCAGTTCTGTGCCTAGTTTCTTTAAGGGGTCTTTCACAACAGATCCAGCTTCTACATTCCATCAAAATATAATGATATTATAATTATTATCAAAGGAATATGAATATTTGCCTTTGGAAGTTACAGCTCTCTGAGGATATCTGTTATATTTTGATAAAGTAAAAACTGCAGGACCTGGTTGTTCAAAGGGTGAATAACATTATATGCTGAATAAATCTTTACCCAGTTGATAGCACAGTATGTTTTGTCAACACTTATGCCCTGGATAGCGATTTATCCTTTGGATAGCATTATCCACCCTTCTCTACAACTGGACCCAGAAGTTTTTCCTATCAAACACAAAATTAGGGTATCTGCAAATCTCTATCAATTTTCATCCCACACAGTATTAAAAATTGTACACTTTTTAACACCTGTGTATGATATTATACATTTTTGGCACATCAAACTAGAAAATACCTCATTGAAATAACAGATGGTATTTCTCGCTAAGTTTTACATATTTTTCCTTTCTTTTGCATCCAGTTCTCGTAAGCTTTTCACTCCCAAGTTCTCAATTGTAATTCTCCTTACTGTCTGTCATACAATTTTTATGAAGTTGGTTCAAAGAATTTGGTATTGGATCCACAAATGATCCACAAATAATCCCCTAATTGATATTTTCCTTTATTCCCATCACTTGTCTGCTTGGTATAGTGTTGATATTATATGGAAAAGTTATGTCTTGGTCACTCATGGCACTGTAAGGGTTTATGTATTTTTTCTTCAATTCAATGAAATCAATCTTCAGTTTAATTCAAACAGAATCTCAAAACAAAAAGTAGAGAACACATTCCTGCGGAGTTTGAATACTGTACATCTTCAATTTGCACAATCTTTTCTTCACTCATTTATCTTGCCTATCAACATCAACCTTTCACAAAAAATGAAATTTGAAATCATCACATTCTTTCAATTTGTGTTTGGTTCAAGTTTAATTGATAGAAATTTACCCCCAGAGATAAGAAACGAAGAATGTTAAAGTTCAGAAGCACAACGCTTTCCATACTAATTACATTACGCGTCTGCTGTTATCAAGTACATAATCTACCTCAATCTTAATCTCATGCGTTATTTGATACCAGACTAAAAGTTTCAACTAATGACATTACAAAGCCCAGAATAAATCCACGATTTTAAAATTACTTCAGCTCTGTTTCAGCCAAGTTCATATTTCAAAACTGCCCTATTTATACCCAATGTCAACAAACAAGCAATGCGTAGATCCTTGGGGCCAATTTAAGTTGGTCATTAGCTAATAATTCCCACCTTTCCCCTTTAAGAGGCCGACATAAAGATGACGTACTCATTAACAAAGAATTCTCTTCTCAGGAAACATTATTACTACTTCTAAATCACAGCAGTGGTTGGAGGTAGACAGTCTGTGCCTCTGCTACCAATGTGCGTTTCGAACCTTTGATCAATTGGTATCACTTTCTAGCCTACCCTCCATATCATTCTCAAATCTGTGATTTGCTGTCCCACATATTGCAGAACGATTAAGTTCATCCCCTCTTTTAAGACTCTTTATCTACCATAATCTACTCCTTTTACATGAGATAACTTTAGTATTTAGTAACCCTGCAATTGATACAAACAATTCAAAAGCTTGGAAGTAACTGAAGCGACGCTTTTCAGAAGTACACAACAAAATTCCTCTCTCACCTCGTTTGGCAGCATGCCTTCCATCCAAATTTTTCAGAGCAGGACTTGAGAGTAAATCATTGTGCAGTAATCCAAGCCGTTTCCCCATAGCACTGAGTTCCTGGAACAATCTTTCGTTTACATCTGACCCCTGTAACTTTTCGTGATCCCTTCCATTTGCCAGAGAACGCTCCCTGAAAGCTTTAAGCTCCAACCGAAGTTCTCCATTTTCCTCCGCTAATTTCGATGTGAGCTTCTTCTCCTCCCGTAGTTTCCTCGAATCTTCATTGTGTCGAACTTGAAAGCTTTTCAACAACTGTTCATGAGTGTGTCGTTCACTTGAGATTTCTTCGCGCATGTTAACAAGTTCATCTCGGAGCACTGCATTTTCCTTCCGGATACGATCAAATTCACCAATATCCTGAGGATTTGGATTCTTTGCAGCCATTTGATATGCTCTGTTAAACGTTCAGCGGGAGGACATTAATCCCTACAGGCTAAAACAAGAGAGCTTTTAACCGCCATATCGCCGAACCGACCGCACACACAGCCTCGAAGTTTGAAAGATTTGTTCACTACAAAAACGCTGTCAACCTGGCCAATCACAGCGCCGAATTCACTCCCGGGTCGGTGAAACCGACATTTCCTGTCTTCAGCTTCGTCTTTCACATCTTCCCCAGACTGGAAAGTCTGAGACGAAGTCATGCAAGTTTCTTTGTCAGGCTTTAGGAAGGTTTTTTTTTCGGACGGGGAGTTGTTTGACAGCAGCATGCATAACATATATAACAGGGGAGGGGAAGGAGGCTAGCGTAAAAATCCCCTCCCCATCCCCCTCCCCTTCAACCTTCTGAACAGTGCTCGATCCAGATGACTCGTGCTTACCGAATCAGGCAAATTCTATGCGAAAGGTGTTTTTAAAACTGACTAATTTAACACAATAGACAGTGACTTAGCTCTTTTCTTTTCTTGTGCGATTAAGTTTGACAACAAAAAGTCGTTGTCTCTCTACTAAGAGATTCAATCATTGAGGAAGGAAGTTGGTTGTCTCAATTAGGAAGTGGAGGGCAAGGCTCCGCTTGTTTGCTTTCTGTGCTACGATCAAGATATTAACAAAACAATTAAATGTCAGCAAACGGAAGAGAATATACTGTTTTATTCCGTTTTTTGAGGTAAGACCTGTTCTAATATTGATCGATTTAAAGATACGGCTCGAGGCCCTTAAAGTTACTGCAGGAGTGGATCCAGGATTTTACACGAGTGATTTGCACCAACTTAACTGGGGGTAAAACAAGAAAGATAATTGATTTCTTGAATTAATGAAAAAACTGAGAAATAATAAACGCGGACTTGGGATCATTTGAAAATTAAAAAATCACTTGAGCTATTCTGGATCCAATCGCGTACTGGTACAGTCAAGAAATCGACCTTAGACCTCGTTGAGCAAAAAACAAAAAAAAATATGATAGACCGTTGACACCTTTATCTGCCTCAGATAACAGAAACAGGTGGTTAGCGGGAAAACGAATTATGGTATGGTTATTTAATTATCCTTTCATTTTTCTCTCTCCAAAAAAGGAAAACATGCCTTTATCAAAAAGTTGAGGATAACATTATGACTGGCAAGTGTCAGTTTTGGCCATTACAGGCTACACTTTCTATCTGGTTACTGATGCAACAGCCCATTAGGGTGTTAGAGGTCTGTAAGTCACAAGTCATAAGTGAGCATTTCACAAAATTTTCTGGTGTCCTCCCATCCTTGCAAAGGTTACAACACTGATAAACAAACTGAAAATGCACCAAAAATGCTCTTTAATAAATAAATTGCCACACTTTTCCAAATACAATTAACAAAAGGTTTTTGACCAGACTAAGCACACGTAATATTTAAGTTATTTAAAAAATGTTACTTTTACAAAGTAGACCTTTTTGCATATATTTGACAATTTAATGCTACACCATTTTAAGAGTCCCACAAACAAGTTCAATGTTTCTATTAAGCTTACAAAGAGCCTCAGAATTCCTATGGGTGAAAATTATTAAACAAAAATTGAGAACTTTGTAATTTTGTCAAAAATTAGACAGACTCATCACACCCTATTGAAAATTGCTGTAACAATTATTTTTATCTTTCACCAGAAAATTGAAAAAATTTTTGCATCCAAGGCAAAAGATTGTCACTTGCAACAACATTCTCTTACCAAGTTAGCTAATAAAGGAAGTATACAAAAAGTACCAGGACAAGGCCATGCAGATGAATAGCAAATGAAAACTAAATCAAGGCTTACAAAATTCACTCTGTAGCTCTTATAATGTTTTCCTTTAAATAGTAATCTCACCTTTAGATAAATACTCTGATAAATTCATATCCATTGTATTCAATGTACAAGTCTGTTGTCACATCAATCTAGATGTTCAACCATAACTAATATATTCTTAGCCTATGTCAGTTAATGCGAAAAGTTTGCAGCCAAGGTTCTTGAACTTCTCTTCACCTCTGAAGCTGTTTTAGGCCTCTGCACTGCATCTTTGGTTGTAACATGTCCTTTAATTCTTGGTTGAGCACTCTCTGGTAGACTCAGTCGTTTCTTTGCCCTTGGTTGAGCCGCAACTTTGGGTTGTTTAGTAATACTTCCAATACTTTGTCTTGATGGTCTATTTGGAGGTTGATATCCACCTCCCAAGCTAGATCTGGATGGCTTATCAGGTTTTCCATATGTATTACCTGTTGTTTTGGGTCGGTTAAGAGCATCATCCTTTTGAAACCTGGGATTACTAGGTGAAAAAAAAAATTGAATTAACAAAGCAAAAAAAAAAAAAAAAAAAGGAATTAGTGTGGCCTAGCCACATGCAAAAAAGATGTCTACTCTCAGAGTGGCTAAATGCAAAGTGTGATAAAGTTAACTCACAGAGGTTTCTCTGGGGCTGTGGCTGGTCTGGAGTTTGGCTTCTTAGACCTTTGAAAAAGTAATTGAAAAGAAACTTACATTACATTTATGAAAAGCAAATGAAACCAGCCTTGATCACACAGACTATAAACATTATCCAAGTTAAGAATATATAAGGTTTAGAAGTAACACTAAAAAAAGAAAAAAAAAACTCAGAAAACTATGAAAACCAGAAATATTTCTAGAATTTCACTGCCTTATCAGGACAGTTAATCACAGAGTAACTGACCTGTAAAAAACTGCAATAATTAGTCTGTTGAATGTGTGCATTTGTAAAACATTTCTGGAGTAAAAAAAAATAGTCAAGATAAATGCAACATACCTTGCTCTGTCAGGTAGAGGTGGAGAAGTATGTCCCTGCTGTGGTTTTAGAACCCTTTACACAATCAAACACAACGAAGTTGGTACATGAAACACCGTAATCATTATCAATAAATGTTACCTTGGAGTTTTCTGAGCCACCTCAGAATGGCTACAAGCACTTTGTTACTTATTACTACTACTGTTTCGGCAACATCATACTTACAGGCAAAAATTCAAAAGCATGCATAAGAAAATCCAGTTTTTGCATAGTATTCAAGAGGATTATACATTTGCCAACTGCTTGCACACAAACTAACCTGATGTTCCAAGTTTTCTTTTTCTTCTCTTCCTTCAGTTCAGGTTTTGGCTTCACCTCTGAATTTACAGTTTGTGTTACAGAGCTTGGAATGAAAAAATTAAGGACCAAAAGTAACAAGACAGATTTACTATTGTCTCTTACATGGCAATGTTCTTTGAAATCTCAATCCAAATAACTAACAGTGCAACTTACAGTAATCTAAGTTTTAAAAGGATACGTATCTAATCCTTCCTGTCTTCTCTGTATTGCCCGTAAAGTGACAGCAGATAGTCTTGACTGGCCTATAGAGCTCTGATTATGTCACAAAATGAAGAAACTATTATTATTACAGAACTGTAAAATTTATCCAATACCATATGAAAATGCAGATTAAAAAGTAGGGAAGGATCATTTCTCTCTTTCAGTTTCTTACCAAAAAGAAGCTGTAAAAAAAATCAAGAGCAGCATAGAAGACAGTTTTTCCCCTTCAAATTTGCTGTAACTGTTATTCAGTCAATAGGCAATCTATCATAAATTCAACTTGACATGTATCATGCAACTAGTTCAAATATTTCACCTTCTTCAACTTCTCACTAACAAGGGAGTTCACTTAACAATTAAAGGCTATAATTGTCAGAAGGTTTCAATGTGTCAACAAATGAGAAAAATGATGTAAACAGTTCTCACTTACCCTGGTGTTTCTGCGCTTAGCCTCTTTAGCTCTTGCTAAGTCTCGTGAATGGGCTATGTAGGACATTCTCTCCCTTATAGATATCTTAAAGAACACATCATGTAGACTACCTCTTGCTATTCTTAGCTATAAAGGAAAGAAAAAGTTTCCATTTTCAGGAAGACTTTCCAAACCAGAACTTTAATCAATCACAGTCAGACAATTAATCAGTGTCAAAACTTCACCAAAGCACCAGATAAGGAGCAATGGAGTGACATTATAATCTTTCAAAACAACATCTCCCTCTAACACCATGTATATCCCTTCCCTCAGGTTCAAACTTCTGTGCTCTGTTTCAACTATTGGGAAAAAAATCCGTTTTCAGATCTTGGGATCTAATGTTTTGTAATCACAGAAGTAAAAGGAGGGGCAGAAAAAAAGATCACTCAATCAGAACAAGCACAAGTGACCACAATGAGATGGCTGGGAAAGTTTCCCCAAAGTTTGTCAATTAATGCAGTTGAAGTGAACATACATGGCCCTCAACATTCTCTTTGAGTATCTTTTCCTGAACAGACTGTGTATCTTCTTTACATATATCTTCCAACACATCTCTGGTGTCCTGTGGAAGCAAAACTGAAGTCAATCCATTATAATTGTGTTGAGTTAATTGTGATTATTTTCATGGTTCCTAATTTCAAAATAAAGTACAGTACTTAATAAAGTATCCTCACCTTGACTGTCTTTATCAAGCCTTGTACCTTGTCAGTTTTCATTAATAACCTCGTTAGAAATCCTTTGGCATGGGCTGAGAGTTTGGCAAATTTATCCCATCCATTATACACAAACTAAGGAATATAATACAAAATGTCTGAGACCCACAATGATCATTGCTTCTAATAAATTTATACCCCTACAATATTGTTCAGAAAGAAATGATTGTATGAAATAAATTGACTAGACTCAATTCCTTGGGAGATGAATTAAATTCTCAAAATGATATAAAAAAGTTGGAGAACTGGAATAGAGAATTTGTTTCATAATCAAGAGCTCCTTTGGTTGATGATCATATCCTTTACTCTTGCGACCTTACTATTTGATCCAGAGATGATACTGTAAAGAGAAATTAGGTGTAGTCACTCTTAGCAGTCAAAGGGTTCACCTAAGATGACTCAAGTATCCTAATGATGAACTTTCATCAAGTTTAAAAGTTATGGTTGAGATGTCCAATATATACATTATGAATACCTGGTCATCCACTTCTGATGAGAAGATCTTGGAATCCTTCCATGCAATGAAAGGATTCATGTTTCTCTGCTCACTTTTTCTTCTATTCATAACATCACCAGGAACATTCTCCACAACAGCATTTTTTCTGTTTTCTCTGAAAACCTCAACCTCCTCTCCAACATGGTTCTCTTTATCAGAAGATGATTCAGGTTCAACATTGTCTTCATCATGGTTATCAAAATCAAGATTCTCTCCACTTAGCTCTAGAATAGAGTACATTTCACCTGG